AAGTCTTCACAAGGAACAATGTTCTACTCCACCGGCAAACTGCACTGTGATACTAATCTCGGTTACTCTCTGATAACTTCAGTGAGCTCTAATCTTTGCTTTATTTTAGTCCAGACTGCAGTAAACTACCAATCGGCATCAGCTGACTGCAAGGGAAAACATGGTGGCCTAGTTACGATGAAAACACAAGAAAGAAAGGCCCTTATGGTCCAGGCCATGGAGACAAACAATGTCACCAGCGTCTGGATAGGTCTGAATGACATTGAAGTGGAGTCGCAGTATGTCTGGTCTGATGGAACATATTTAGAGAGTTCTGACATGACTTGGGTGTTTCTTGGAGGCCAGCCGGACAACCACGGCGATGAGGACTGTGGATATTTCATCAACTTGCCTTTAGTTCGTGGTCGCGGAGTCAGTGATTGGCGATGTACCAATTTCGCGGGTTACATGTGTGAATATTTGCCATGAGATATGGGAACATCAACCTCAAGAAATTGAACCAGTCGAAGGAATAGGACTTATTTCAAACATTTGTTTATTTTCTTAAAATAGAGCTAAATGGATTCCGATTTTGCAAAAATTATTTCTATTTTTATAGTTTTTTGTTTAGTAATAATGTTAATATATATATATATATATATATATATATATATATATATATATATATATATTCTCCAAATACCACCGATTCACTCACTGATCACAAGATCTCAAGGACAACAAGCCCTATTAAGCTTATCATTTCCATGGACATTCCACTGATAATCTAGACGTGAACTGAAAATGAGGAGTTTTTTTTCTCTGTTTTTTTTTAAAAATCAGCTTACATAATTCCTAAAACGTCACAAGGACGAAACATATTTAAAGGCAACAGTTTGTTTCGTAATGCGTTTTTAAGTTGTGGATTTGCGGTGGCGTTGCTAGGGTTGGTGACACCCGGTGCGGTAAACTCATGGTGTCACCCCACTCACCCCCCACTCCGACTCCTATAACGGATTTCTTCTTCTTGAAATAAGTCCACAGTATAACATTGACAAGGAAAAAATAACAAATTAATTGAAGGTCAGGAGGTAGATGTATTTAAGAACTCTAATAACTGTAATTTACATTAAATTTATTTTATTAAAAAATGTCATTTCCTGGTCTTCAGAGCTGCAAACCTGTCAATCATTTGATCGAAATCAATACCCTTCACCGTATCCATTTCAATGGATAGTAGATCCAGATCGGCAAGCTTTGACTGTCCTATGGCGGATCGTAAATGATTCTCCTGTAATTCCCCTCTTAAACCGTAATCTTCTGTCTACCGAAATTCCACATTGGTCTCATTTCGAAAGTGCATTTTAAATAGCATGTTCAACCAAGTGAAAGCGCTTCTCGTGCAGGAACAAAATTTTAAGATCTCTAGGTTGGTCACTACCTTGTCCAAAGTAAAGCCTTTAGTCTACAAATAACGCTTTGTAAGATTAACTTGCTCAATTAGATAAGCACAAAGGCTAAAGGTAGCAGATAAACGTGAAATCAAAGAAAGTATGACAATGTATTTTAAAAAAAACGTTTACTGGATGACAATTGTGCTGAAATGTTAAGGGGCGGTGCTAGTGACGAATCGGCAAACATATCATTTTTTTTACTATTTCTGGGTTTCGATAGATATTTGGTTTTCAGAAGCTTCTTTTTCAAATTTATAAAAGTTAAATTTATTATTAAATGGGTAAAAAGACATTTTTTCATATTTTTAATTTGTATCGATTCGATTCATGGGCTTAGAATCATCCCTCGACCACATGGTATTTTGTATCAATGGAAAGCTTTTTTTCTTAGAAATTAAGATAAATATAGCTTCCTTTAACCTACGAAAGTTAGCGAATACTTCAATCGGCGTTGAATTATAGTCCAAATGGTTTTTTTTGACCAAATTATAGGGTCACCACATTTCTGACGCATCAAACTTAAACTTTTAATGAAGCATGCATTTGTATTGGTTACATGTGTGGAAATTGTATGTGTGATAGGTCAACCTTGTGTGATAGGTCAACCTTGTGTGATAGGTCAACCTTTTATGAAACTGAGTTAGACGGAGCAGTGTGTGCGCTGGAAATATACAGTTTTTCATTTTGATGCCCCCCCCCCCCAGCTACGCTACTGTGGATTTGACATCCCGTTTTATGTATTACAGATCGCATTTGAAAATGGATTTTTTTTTTTTTTTTTTTTTTTTTTTTTTTTTTTTTTTGTTTTTTTTTTTTTTTTTTTTTTTTTTTTTTTGTGGTTGTGTTTTTTTTTTTTTTTTGCGAACAGTGCGCATCCAGCAAGAGTGTTGGGCTGCTATAAGCTTTGAAGTGGATTAATTAGATTAATTAGACGCAAGCAATTTCTGTAAATAAAACAATATATGTTCAGCTTTAATGATGATTTTACAAAATGCATAATTAAACGTTTCGGCAAATGTCTTCATCGGAATAAAAAACGGTAAATGCGGAGAGATGGCACCGCGTTTTTTTTGTGCTTTTTTTTTTTTTTTTTTTTTTTTTTTTTTTTTTTTTACCATGGCCGCCATCTTGGCTGACATGACCCGTGAACTTTGACGGTTTCACGTGTAGTGGCAACCAAGATGGCGGCCGTGGAAAAATAAAATGAGTCTCGTTTGCTAAAATTAGGAATACAACGTCAAAATTTAATGAAAAAATGTCCTTAATGTATCCCTAAACCTAACCTGAACCCTAAATCTACCCCTAATCTGGGTTTTGACCCAATCAGAAGCAGAGTTTTGGCCCTATCGGAAGCAGGGTTTTGGACCTATCGGAAGTAGGGTTTTGACCCAATCAGAAGCAGGGTTTTGACCCTATCAGAAGTAGGGTTTTGGCCCTATCGGAAGTAGGGTTTTGACCCAATCAGAAGCAGGGTTTTGACCCTATCGGAAGTAGGGTTTAGGCCCTATCGGAAGTAGGGTTTTGACCCTATCGGAACCAGGGTTTTGACCTTGTCGAAACCAGGGTTTCGACCTAATCCAGCCATAGTTTTGACCCTATCGGAAACAAAGTTTTGGCCCTATCCCTATCCTGGGTATTGAACCTAACCTGAACTCCCTAAATCGATCCCTAAACCTAACCTGAACCCTAAATCTATCCCTGAAGTCGCAGCTGCAAGTAAAAACACGTGGAATTTACACACTGTGGCAAGAAAACTATGAAAATAGACAAAAACAATAAAAAATGGCACAAAATAATGATAAAATAACGAACTATTGAAAACCCAAACTTACAGTTCTATAGAATACACTTTTACATCCTTTATTTCAGGTTACACCGAAAAGAATATCAAGAAAATGAATAAAACACCCCGAGATCATGCAATAACGCATTTCGAAGATGGCGAAACACTAAAAATATTATAATTAGCCACAGATGAAATTTTAAAATTATAATTAAATAAAAATTTAAATAAAACGACACATAGTCATATTAATGAAAATGTAACTCTATTTACCACAAAAAAATAACGGGAGTGAATCCAAAACTGCAACTTATCAAAACACGATACTGACGTCACGCTGCTATCTCTTCGCATTACCCTAAAAAACAAACCATTTAAATAAGTACAAATTAAATTTACATAATGCCATAGATATTTACATGTACTTTACCTACAAAAACGGAAAAGAATACGAGTGGGCGCAAACGCAGACAAACAAAGAGCTAAGAAGAACAGAAAGGAAGGGAGTGGAAGTAAAATTTAAAAACCAAACAGGAAAAAGACATGGCAGCTACGTATATAATATGCTCTTCTTATATTTCAATAAATTTTAATATTTTTTTTTAAATTTTACAATCTAAGTTATTAGTTTCTCATATTATTTCAATATTAGAATTTTATTGTATTCTTTTTGATTGTAGGTATTTGTCATTTTTAAAGATGTCTATGCTAAAAAAAAATAATATTAACCACCAAGAGGGTAAACCCTTGGCTGGGATTTACTGTAAATTGATTTTATAGTTTTGTTTTATGATAATAAATTGATCTCAACAGTCATCGGCGCGCGCGCCCACACACACACACACAACACACACACAACACACACGCAACACACAACACACACAGAGCCATGGTCACAATCACCATATACGATGATTTAGGTGGTCATAGGCGATTTCGTCTGACGAAATATATATATATATATGTATATATATATATATATATATATATATATATAATATATATATATATATATATATATATATCATACAAAGAAACAACATTCAAAATCAAAGTGCTTTACAAATATCCTAAAGATATTACTCGCCTGTATTTATAGTTCAGGAGCCCAGGATTGTGTTAGTTATTGGAATATGATTAATGTGACGTTTAGATTAGTTGCTTTATATAAATTGGTTTTATATTAGTTATCAAATCAGTCTGTGGCATTTTCCTCTTTATGTAGATTTCTTGCACTTGTATCTATATGATTTTTTTTCTTCTCATGCAATAAATTACCTTTACTCGAAGTGGATCGAGGTATGTTGAAGCTTGAAACGAAAGATCAGGATATTGAAAAGAGAACTTTTCGACTGAAAAGCCTGCTTCAGCAGATAAGACACAAAAGCAACAACAACAACAACAAAATATTTTTAAAAATACAATTATTTAAAAACGTACGTGTCTGTGGTCGGCCGTGCTGTGGAATTATGGATGAGGCGTAAGTCCTCATATATATCTTTGCACCTGTGTAAGTTTATCGTCAATGTTTTATGTGTAAAATGATGAGGCACCATCTTCAGGCTTTATCCAGGGGCACATGTTTTCTTCTTCACGCCCCATCCAATGACAACAGTTATTCAGCATTTAAAAAAAGACATATCTCACCCAGGGATTGGTTGTAAAAAATGTTTTATTTATTGACATAAAATGTATCTCTTAATCTATTATTTACCAATAAATTGTGTTTAGTGTAAATGCTTTCTCGAAGTGACTCTCTAACATCACACCCCCACCTCCCCCCCCCCCACGACTGCGCTGCTCGTACTACTCTTAGCTTTCATTGAGTTAGCAGCAGAAGAGCAATCCCAGATATTACTGGTGTGAGCGTGTATCGCATTCTCACATTCTCAGCACTGTTTCCCTTGATGGTATCTTCTTTTTGTTCAAGCTTGACGTGCCTGATCCTCCCTTCAAGACCGGTTGTGATTGGACTAAACCGTACGATGTGTTTAATCATGATGTCGGTGTCCAGGTTTTCTGAAACAGTTCCGAATTGTTAAGTGAAATAAATGACCTACTTTAAAGCTACTCGATGAGTCAGGTCGGTATTGAGAAGATCCTGACTCCCTTGAAAAAATAAATATCCGCAATGAGAGGTCATGACCATGACTTCCTAACTAACATGACGCCACATAATTAGAGCCCATGACTCCATTACAAAGATAAAGCCACAACAATGAGATGTTCTGACTAACAAACATGAAGCCAAATAATGAGATGTTCTGAATCCCTAGCAAACATAAAGCCGCATAATGAAATGTTCTAGCCCCCAAACAAACATGAATACACATAATGAGATTTTCTGAGACCCCTACAAACATAACGCCAAAACAATGAGATGTTCTGACCTCTTTACAAACATGACGCCACATAATGAGATAATCTGACTTCCTTACAAACACATGTAAACAATGTGAGTTCCGTGGTTAATGCCATAGAATCGACACAGACTATTACAAACAGCATGGTGAAAATTCTGACATGCCGTAAAACTGTGCTGTCCGCGGATGCCCAAATAGCCAGACTGGGTTTGACCTCCACAGTTCAAGGACAGAATCTTCCCTCCCAGATTTCTTCCCAAATCCCTCATGCTCCACACCAACGGACCATTAGAGTTTTCAACCTCCACACTGCTCTACTCCTATGCGCTGCAGTCAACAAGACAAATGGAAACACAGAGCATTGCGCATAATGAATGTAAACTTTCAGTCTGGAAGCGGAAAGAGAGTCGAGATAGTCAACTTGATCAACAGCGTAAAGCCTGACATCATCTTGGGAACAGAAACATGGCTGAATCCCTCCATAGCCAACGCAGAGGTTGTACCGGATAATTAAAAACTATTCCGGAGAGAAAGAAAAGACAGAGGAGGAGGAGTATTTGTTGCTGTCCACGAAGCCTGGACTGTCACGCTGTTCCAGAACTAGATTTTGATGACTACGAACTCTTGTGGGTGAAGGTGAAGCTAAAGGGTAGACGCACACTTTACGTTTGTGCCTATTACAGACCCAACACAGCAGATGAACCAAGCTTGAGGAGATTTAATGTGTCACTTCAGAGAGCAATTGCAGTCGAAGAATGCTCTCTTCTTATAAGGGAGATTTCAACTTTCCTGGTTGGAACTGGCAGATTCCTGCCTTGAAGCCCAAGTCCCCATACCCGGTCCTACACTCTGACTTTATGGAAATAATTAACAACCATGGTCTGGAACAGATGGTTAAAGAACCCACGCGAGGGGAAAACACTCTCGACCTACTCCCCAACAACAATCCACATCTCATCCCAAGAGGTGAGGTGATCCCGGGATACCAAATTGCGAATTTCACGCTAAAAAAGAAGCTGGCTGTGCGAGACATCCTCATTTATGCTAAGGCAGACTGGGGCAGCCTGATAAGTGCAACGACAGAGCTGAGCTCAAACATGCATGAGATTCAGGGTAATGCAACAACAGAAGAGCTGTGGGTCACGGCTGAAATCCGAAGGCTCATGCACAGGAGAGACCGCCAATAGAGACGAATGAAGTAGAATGGCTCGGTAGAACTGAAAGCTGAAGTACTGAGGCTCCGAAAAGCCATCCAACGCTTACTGCCCAGATCTTACTTGGATACCTGAACGTCATCTTCTCAGAGGAAGGTACTCTGGCAAAAAGTGTTAAGAACAAGCGCTTCTGGAACTATGACAAGCACCAAAAGTCATCTAACACTGGGGCTTCCCCCCTGAGATGGGACGGCCATTTGAGGTCTGAACCCAAAGCACATGCGGACATACTCAATCAACAGTTCCAGTCGGCCTTTGGGGATGGTAGAGAGTACTCAGAGGTTGAGTTCCTTCTGAAGACCAACATGATGAGCACAGCCTACCCCGTCATGGAAGATATCAAGATTTCAGAGCACAGTTTGATGGCACTCCTTAAACCATTAACCCCTACGAGGCATGTGGTCCTGACAACATCAAACCAAGATTGCTCAAAGAATTGGCCAAATTATCGCCCCTGCACTGACAATCCTCTTCCAATCGTCGCATTCACAGACAACGTTCCAACTGACTGGAGAATAGCGCATGTCACTCCAATTTAAAAAAAAAGGGGAAACACTACGACCCTGCCAACTACCGCCCGGTATCCCTCACCAGCGTAGTTTGCAAACTACTGGAGCACATAATCGTAAGCGCGGTCATGAATCACTTGGAAAGACACAATATACTCATTGACTATCAGCATGGCTTCAGAGTCACAGATCGTGTGAGACCCAACTCCTTGAATTTGCTGAAGAATTGACGACCAACTTGGTGAGCAGCAAGCAAACGGATGTGCTTGTTCTGGACTTTTCAAAGGCTTTTGACCGTGTCCATCATAGCTTGCCATTACACAAACTGCAGAGATATGGGATCCAAGGCACTACCAAAACATGGATCACTAGCTTCCTCAGCGACCGATGCCAGGCAGACGTGGTAGATGGCACAACCTCCTCCTTTTTTGGTGTTAAATCAGGGGTCCCCCAGGGCTCGGTGCTAGGCCCCTGTTCGTTCCAATTATATATCAATAATCTGCCCGAGAAGCTCACCTCTCAAGCCAGACTGTTCGCAGACGACACGGCGGTCTATAGGACGGTCGCCAACAGTTCTGACCAGGACAAGCTACCACAGGACCTCAATCGGTTAGCAGAATGGGACATGAGCTGGGACATGGAATTTCATCCCGTCAAGTGCCAGACCCTGTCGGTCTCCAGACGCAGATCCCCTCTACACCACTCTTACGAATTCCATGGCCCTATTCTTGAGTAAATTTCCTCCGTAAGGTACCTAGGTGTTACCATTCAAAGAGAGGTCCGCTGGAACGAGCACATTAACAATGTGTGAAACCGGGCAAAAAAAAGACCCTGGGTTCCTAAGGCTAAATCTGAAGATCGGCAACTCAAGCGTGAAAGGAAAAGCCTATAAAACCTTTGTCAGACCGCTTTTAGAGTAACGGTACGCAATCTAGAGTCTAGGACCCATCTACACAGAAAAGCATCGACAGGTTGGGGACGGTCCAGCGACGGGCAGAACGCTTTGTCCTGAACCGCTATAGAAATACCTCAAGTGTTGGCAGTTTGCTAGAAACACCGTGCTGGTCACCATTGGAAGAACGACGACGACTACCCAGGCTCTCCATGTTGTACAAGATCAAAAATGGGCTGGTTTACTGCTCCAGCATCAAACAGAAACTCGTTCATCTCCCCCCCTAGACAGCGACGAAGCCACGACAGGCAGTTCCGGCTAATAAAAACAAGAACTCATTACAGGCGCTCCTCATTCCTGCCAAAAACAATAAGAGCCTCGAACAAGCTTCTAAAAGCAACAGTTGAGGCGACTACACTAGACACATTTGCGTCTATTGACTCCAGTCTTCCAACCCCCAGTTCATAATACCACTGCTGAGTGGCCCTTGCAACCAGTGAAGTATCCCCTTGAAAACCATGTACAGCAACATCGCCAACCCCTTCGAACCATAGGAGCCAGAATGATCAATTCATTGATCGTGGCCCTAAAATATAGAAGAAGAACACGAAGCCATACAGGCGTTGCATCCATGTTAGCGTCTTTCTCCTTTCATTTATCAGTGCCTTTGAACAAACAAACAAACAACAAATTACGCGACCAAAAAAGAACTGTTCGCGTATTCGTCAAAGCTACCAGCTACTGGATGATTGTTGCATCAAAGGCTATCACCTCTCTTAAGCTTACTTTAAAATGGCGGAATGTTTTGTAGTATTTTAGCATTTTGAAGCATGCAAGGGACTTCACTAGGGGAATTCCACTCACCCCAGTTGTCTTTCAATATTCGCATTAATCTGTGAGTACTTTTTTAATTTTAGGCTTTAAAAAATTGTTTAACCTTTAAAAAAGATATCCCACCAAAGTTTTTTTTACATTGGGCATGAATCCGCTTTTACGTTTACTTTACAGGTATGTCAAATTAAGAATATTTTCCTTAGATAATGGGTTCTTAACCTGTGGTTCATAGACCCCACGGTTCATGAAAATGTATCATGGGGCCCATGAGCTCTGATTCATGTGTACCTTTTTAAGGATTTATTGAATTTATTAACAGATGTGGTCAGGGGCCTTAACATTACTGGCCGAGGGGCTCATGGAAGAAGACAAGGTTAAGACAGCATTCGTCTTAGATGTCTGGCAGGAACGCCTATCTGGCACCGTCAAGAAAATACACAATCTGTGCGACAGGAGAGAAAGTCTCAAGACGGGTATGATTCCAAGTTGTTTTAAATAGAATTTAAAGATCACATGCGAATCTGCATGTACCCTCCAGTTGTTGTTATCCCTGCGTTTCTAGTAAATACGTTACCTCTTGGTTGTCGGCTTTTGATCTCCTTTGGAAACATGCTGAGACCATCGCCGCCATTGAGGATGAAAGAGCTGGTCACAAGTTTATAATCTCTGTCTGCGCTGATTGGCTCTAGCTTGGGAACCTTGCATTTGGTGCAGGTCACTAGGAGCTCAACGACCCTTGACCCGACGGGTTGGCTTACGTCATAGGTCACTTGCAGTCCTGAAATTTGGAATGGATTTTAAAAGTCCACTCCAGGATATAACGAACTTTAACTGAGATATCTATTTCAGTTTCATTTGTATAAATAAAAAAGTGTCTAAAGAACACTTATCAGTTATGTGGTAATGGGGGCAACCTAATGGGAATAAGATAATACTCTGCTAATAACATTCGTGAAAACAATAACAAAGTCGAAATATTCAGTACACGGTCACACTCCCGTGGCCGCTGAGGGATACGCTCTAGTATTAGTACACAATCAAGTACACGATCAGCTACACAATCAAGTACACAATCAAGTACAGGATCAAGTACATGATGAAGTACACAATCAAGTACACGATCAAGTACACAATCAAGTACACGATCAACTACACGATCAAGTACACGATCAAGTACACAATCAAGTACACAATCAAGTACATGATCAACAGATTGAGTACACGCTAAGGTACCCGCTCAAATACACGCTCAAGTACATGCTCTAGTACACACAAACGTTGACCTTGAAGTAAACACTCGAGTAAAAGCCAACGTTACCGTCCACGCACACGCTTAAATACACGCTTCAAAAGCTGCTTATACTAATGTTGCTAAACAATTTTCATAGCTTTTCTATCTGCAAAGAGTTTTGTACATAGGCGTACCCTGAAATTTTTGCATGGAGAGGATGTTCGTTTTAGTTTCAGGACACCTGCTCGCGTACATTGCAAAATTGGGTTGGCAGCAAACACCCCCCCCCCTCCCCAAACCCACCCAAACCTGAACAAGGTAAAATGTATCGTGCCCTCTGAACCCGACTCTGACCCCCGACGAACCTGCCACTTGTAAAAATCCACCATATGCCTTATCTGGAAGCTCGGTCCATTTCTCAGCGCAGTACTCAAACATGTCCTTGATGGTCTGGCCAGAGACTTCTACGATGTCCACCGTGTTGCGGAACGGCTGGACGAAGATCACCGCCTCGGTCGTGATGTTACCTGCGGGTTCAGTGATGTTCAGTAATGTCCAAGTGATGAACTTTTCTTTTGTACAGTTGTGTTCACCTTGTTTGGGTGCAGGTAATATACTCAGAATGAGAGAGAGAGAGAGAGAGAGAGAGGGTAGAGAGAGAGACAGAGAGAGAGAGAGAGAGATAGATAGAGAGAGAGAGAGAGGGGGGGGGTAAGAATATGTACGGTGAGGATTTGGGATGGCCAGATACATGTTTCAAAGGCTGTGCTCGATTAAGTCAGGTCAAAACATATCCAGCAAAAAAAAAAAAAAATATGTGTATGTCTTAAGTGTCAGGAGACTCAAAGCTTAGGACACATTTAGTGCTATATATTTGACAAACGGCTAGAATCTTTAAGAGCAGGCCTGCACAACTCTAAATGTAAGGTGGACCGTAATACATTATGAAAAACTTGTGCGGGCCAAAAGAAAATAAGACAGGACTTGTGCGGGCCAAAACTATATAGGTCATGGGGGGAAGCTATTAAGAAAATAATAAGAATAAAGAGTTTTTCATTAACTCGCGGGCCACAAAGTGAGTGCTGGTGGGCCACATGCGGCCCGCAAGTTGTATGTGGTGCAGGCCTGTTTAAGAGAATTGCGACTTATCATTACAAGATTGGTATGAAAATGATGTAATTATTATTAATAAGTAACAATGTAAAAAAAAAACGCAACAGACCGAAGAATATGAAACGTTATAAATAGCGCCTTATCCAATTGCGTTGTTGCAAGAAATACTTTAACACAGGTGCCAGATGTCAGTCATGGCGCTGTATCGCTATGGCAGATTTTATATATATATGCCAACGAATATATTATATTATATTATATATATATATANATTCATATTGCAGATTTACCTGTATTTATAGAAGCCCTGAAGCTGCCAGCATTTACAACCGACATGCTGACTTCACTCCAGGAGTCGCTGGTGTGTAGCAAGTTGTACCGTAGCATGGCATCAGCCACGAGGTTACCTGTAGAAACATTTGTTTTTCTGGTTTAAAAACCATTGGATTTGCTCTTTACCTCCGCCCACTCCCCATACATGACTCGTGTAGCTCCGTACCAGGTGCTTTTGGCGCAAGCGAAGGCCGTGAGCGGAAGCATTTCAGTGAGTACTTTTGGAAACAAAGGAAACAATAAATATGAATAATAATTGCGCAATTTGTGCTTTGTTTAAATAAATATATTTAAAAAAAAATTAATTCTTTGTTGCACTTTTAAAGTTCGCCGAGGCGCCCCCCATGGTGTCACGGAAATACGGTCGAAACACCACCCCCCACCCCCCGGTGGTAAACAATAGCAAGAAAAGTTTACCTAGATTGCACTCCGTGGTCCGGCATTTGATGACGTCAGCCAAAAGGTCAACATAACTTTGACCCACGACGGTGGTCTTCTGCTTATTGATAGCTGGCGTGTACTTTGCAATGATTTCCAAAGTCTCCGGATCTGAAAAGTTGGGGGAGGGGGGGGCACAGAGAAGCCATTATCGGGTTTTTATCGAATCTGTATATCTTTACCATCTAATCATTTGTTTCTTTGGGTTAGTTTTGGAGCTTATGTTTATCCTCATGAAACGCAACAATCGTTGGTGATGTTAAAAAGTAATGGGCAGCGTTGCAGTGTTGTGTAGCAATGTGTTTGACAAAAACAGTGGACCGGGCAAGTTTCATCCGGGGCAAAGCCTGAAACAGTATTTGTTCAACACTTTTCTTGTTTGACCCATGAGGCTTTGGTCTAAACAATGGTGCACTTCCTTTGAACACTGACCCCCCCCCCCCCACTTCTCTCTAAACCTTCAGTTCTCGACCCTCTGAGCAACGACCTCCAGGTCCATTAGTGGGTAGCCACGGCAGTCTCGGGTGGGCTCGATTAATGCCCTACTTAGCTGAATGTCAGACTTTCTGTTAATTTCAATAAATGCACCCCCCCCCACCTGTGATCTTCTGTATTTGTACTACGTTCATAACTATAATAAGTATTTTTTTTTTTTGCTCTAATTATCATTGTAAGCACAAAATTACACCCTTACCGCGGTCGCATTAGTCAGATAAGCTAATTACACAGAAACAAGCTGTGGCACAAGCTTTCAAACCCCACACTTCTAACCTTGTTGCACCGAGTCACTCTAACCTTGTTGCACTGACTTGTCCAAAAGAATCGGATTTCCCCACCATGACGTCACGATCCCTTCGTCGTTAAACGTCACGTGCAGCTCGCCCAGGTATTTCCCATAAGCGTAGCCCTGGACGACGAGAACCTGCTGTCCACTGTCTGACGTCACCGCAGTCGGGTAAACGCCTCCGACCACCTCATTGGATGGCGCAGTGCCTGGCATTAAAAGCAAGCATTGTGTTAAGACGACTTGATCAAATCAGGCATTCACTTGGCTGCATTTTTAAACCACAAAGAAACTCCGTCCTTACATGTAGAAATAAAAGCAACGACTATGTGTTTATGAGTTAAAATACAAAGTAAGTTGCTATCTGAAAACTGCAGCACATAAGACATATTAAGCGATAATAAGCGACCGAGAGTTCCGGTATAATCCGTTATAGTATTCCATTTTGACCTAGTTTTTTTCCGGTTTGGTTGTATAAAAATGATCGATAACAGATGACAGATAATAGATGACAGTTTACTAACAAAATGTATGTTTTAGTTTTGTTGAAATGATGCGAATGTAGCTAAATCTTTACATCGGGCTGTGGTCTAGTACCGTTGAATATTGACCTGTGGTCTGTTCATTGAATTCACCGTTGATCTGGTCATTGAACTGACCTGTGGTCTGGTCATTGAATTGAATGTGGTCTGGTCATTAAATTGACCTGTGGTCTGGTCATTGAACTGACCGCTGGTCTGGTCATTGAACTGACCGGTGGTCTGGTCATCGAACTGATCGTCTCTGAGATAGGAACTAGAAGCTAAGAATCTTCTAGCCCCCTTTTGTCAAAATATTAACAGAAACCATTCAAGATTGTCCTAACGTTAAGACCTTAACACCAAAGAACATACTATTTTCCTCCGACCTCTTCACTGTCCTCAGACTGAATGTCAGAATGTAACAATGATAACATTCTACAGCGATTTAAAAAAAAAACCAACAACGTATTTTCGTATCATTCCGCCTATTTTCGTATCATTCCGCCTGTCTTATCCTGGCCGCAACCGTTCGATTCGTGAACTTTTCAATATTAGTTTACGAAAATAATTGAAAGCATATCAGCATACAAAGGTTTTTTTTTGTATTGGCAGCTGTTCGGTGATAACATATACAACAATACTTATAACCCTTACATTAACAAGCGTTGGGTCTTTGTCAATCATCAGGCCGTTCTCATTGGGACATGAGTATTATTTAGTAGTGGCTTTATATTTAAGATTGGTTTTTTTTTTTAATATAAGGTGTACTAATCTGTGTGACGAGCTGTTTCCGAAAACTATAGTTAAAACCGCTGAATGTCAAGGGTTTGAGAATCACTGTTATTATACACACTCCCGCCCATCATCCATTACAATCCCACGCCTTGTAAGCTGTTCACTCATGTTCGCACCCCTTCGGGTAAACATAACTTGCTGGAACCCCAAACATAACAGTGATTCTCATACCCTTGACGCTGAATTTACAACTATATTGGAGTGTAGGGGAAGTTGGCTATGGACATAAAGACATTTAACAACGTTCACGTCAAATTGACACAGAAATTATGTTAATAATGTCCCAGCCTACCGTTGTAAAGGAAAGTATTGGTGTGTCCACCCACGATGACGTCAACATTCCTCAGGCGCTTGGCGAGGTCAAGGTCAGCAGGGAACCCCACGTGTCCGACAGCGATGATCTTATTGACTCCCTGCTGGGTGAGCCGGTCGACCTCGGCCTGGACTGCTTCCAGCTCCTTGCTGAATGTCACGGTTTCTGGATGGGATTCCAAACACACGAGTCATTGCACGATTAACGTAATGCGCTAATCGCAATTCAAATATAGGGGGTTGATAAAATATATTAAGATAAAATTAGTGTGGGGTAAATGTGTGTCGATGAGTTTGTGGCGGGGGCAGTGTGTGTGCACGAGCGCGCGAGAGTGTGTGTGGATTGGGGGGGGGGGGGTTTTGGGAGGGGGGGGGGGGGGGGTGGGGGGGGGGGGGGGGGGTGGGGGGGGGGGGTGGGGGGGGGGGGATTTTGGGCTAGTTACGTAGTGTAATATTGATTTTGGGCTAATTACGTAGTGTAATATTGATTTTGGGCTAATTACGTAGTGTAATATTGATTTTGGGCTAGTTACGTAGTGTAATATTGATTTTGGGCTAATTACGTAGTGTAATATTGATTAAAACTCAAACTAAAAAGTATCCTTATGCTAATAATAAGTTATTTTACACAGGCTTCGATTAACGCACTGAAACTTTTACTGGCTTAATTTTCTTTCAGAAACCGCCTGCATATAGGATGTGTGGAGATTTATCGAGGCTCTAAGAAATTCACACCTAACTATTTGACAAATGACTTTGAGTAGGTTCCCACCTATACACTGATCTATAGGGCCATGCCCTGAACTACGCACATTTTCACTGATCTATAGTTCCATGCCCTGGACTACGCAAGTTTTCACTGATCTATACTCCCATGCCCACACCTATACACTGACCCACTATCACATAGCCCCACCTACGGGGCCTTACGCCAACCGTACCAGCTCTTGAGATGTAAGGTGTCTCCGCCGTGGTGTAGCCGACCAGGCCAATCTTCTGCCCGTTGACAGTCAGGACGGTTGATTTTTGGATGATGTCTTTCAGCTTAGGTGTGTTGTCCAGGTTCATGTTACTGGACAACAACGGAAACGTCACCTTCCTGGCGAAAGGCTCCAGTCCTTCAATGCCCTCATCAAACTCGTGATTTCCGATTCCCTGTCAACGAGTTCAAAGATAATTGCAATTATTTTTTTTCCAACGCACCTCAAAAGAGTGTAAACGGATTTAATTCCATGAACTGAATGCTTCAAATGTCTTACCCAAGGCTTCGTGGCCTTTGAATTTCTTACAACAGCATTTTAGCCGCCAAATGTACAACAATGTTGTTTTGACTACTAAATGTCTTACCATGGCGTCGCAGCCTTCACATTTCTTACCATAGCGTCATATCCGATGTGATTCATGAACTCGGCGGTCACTATTCCACCAAACGTATAGAACCACAAGGTCCCCTGGAACTGATCCCCAGCGTCCAGTAGTAGTGTCTGGTCGGCATATTTGGCCCTTAACATCTTTACCTGAAACAGCCAAAATTCTAGTTTTAGTTGAGCTAATGACGTAACATATACAGTGGCCCATAACTACTGACGTTATGCAGTGGCCCATAACTACTGACGTTATACAGTAGCCCATAACTACTGACATTATACAGAGTTCCATAACTATTGGCGTAACATATACAGTGGCCCATAACTACTGACATTATACAGTGGCCCATAACTACTGACATTATAACAAAGTCCCATAACTACTGACGTAACATATACAGTGGCCCATAACTACTGACGTTATGCAGTGGCCCATAGTTATACAGTGGCCCATAACTACTGACGTTATGCAGTGGCCCATAGTTATACAGTGGCCCATAACTACTGACGTTCTGTACAGAGCCCATAACTACTGACATTATATAGAGGCCCATACACAGGGTTCAATACAAAGATAATTGATGATCACGTAATGCTATTATAACTGTGCACTAAATGAGAATATAAGCAGAGTTGATACTTAAAACATACATGTTACAGAAACAGTTCATCCAGGAGCCGTTACACTTTAAAGAAGACAAACAGAATAACTGTGAGGATAACTGTGACAGGGATCCCCATTTCTAGAAGATGTGTGGGGTCCACAGACTGGAAGATATCTTTCATATCATTTGTATACAAGTGCTGATCAAATATAGACAGCTGTCTTTGCCTGCTAGACAGCTGTCTTTGCCTGCTAGTCAACTTACCATCGTGCGGATGCGAGCCACACCACCAAAGCATTTTCCAGCTTCCGACAGCTCTGCGTTACACGGTCCACTGCGTCTGAAAATGAAATGATTAGTCAGGTAATTCCGGTTAATGGATTCAGCATTTAATAGGAATTATACAAAAATTAAAATAAAAAAAACAGCATTTAGTAGATTCCTACGGAATAATTAAAAAAAAACAAACAACATTTAATAGCTTGCTGCAGAATAATATTTATAAAAAAAAAAAAAGCATTTAGTAGGTTCCTACGGAAGTATAAGAAATAAAAATGAATCTTACCTATTATATATATATATATATATATATA